ATATTGAATTCATAATTACAAGTTCAAAGGCAAAACGGACAACATTGTGAAGATTTTCAACAAAAAGTTTGAAAACGAACAATTTCATACCCCTAAAATAAAAGAAGGTAAAAACTTAAAAAAAAAAAAATGAATTCCATGTAAGAGGAACATAATAGTACTAATGATAGTAATAACAATATCAACCTAGAAAATTTAACTTAATTAACAACAACTCTAGTATGGATTGATGATTTACTCAAAAAAAAGAAATTCTTTCATGGATTCTATAAATTAGAAAAATATGCTAGAATTAAGATATCTTAGTACCAGTTATAACCCTGTGCATTGAAAATGTCAAAGTAAAAAAAAATTCCTTTAGTGAACGGAAAATGCATTCTTCATAATCAAGATTCAAAGTTAGACACAAATTGTAAAAATTCACAAATAATTTGGTTCAATCCAATCTATGAAGAATCTCAGTATTTGGGTCATTTACAACAACCAAATTTGACATATTGATGAAAAACTCCATCAAAAAACACTGACCTTCCCTAAAATTTCAAACAATGTTGTTGAATCAGCCCAATCCGGCTTTAAAAAAAATTTCAAAAAGTAGTTTAACCTAATATTTCTTGTAAAAAGTTCATAGTCAAGAAATATACAGAGGAAATATGGAGTTTAAAAAATTAAAATTAAGAAGAAAATGCAGATGTTCAAAATAAAAAAAATACCGCACATAAATCACATTCCCCATTTCCACATATACAATAACTAATATTTCCAAAATAAAACCTTCATATAGCAATGAAAAGAAAGATCAAAATAGATAAGGGAAGTTGAAAAATTGAGAGAGTTTGAAGAGCTCAAGGTACCTTCCATGGTTTGAGCAATATCATTGAACTCAAAATGAGGATTTTGTATCTAGCACATTGGGATTTTATGGCCGTCAAAGATTTCTCTGTATGTGATTTCCTCTCCTATTTTTGGTGTTTTATTAAGAAAAAAAACATAGGGTTTTATTGATTATTTCGATTTGGGATTTGAAAAAAAAATTTTGGTTTGGTTTTGGGAAAAAATGGGGTTTTATTTTTTATTTAGGTGTTAGAGTTTATTGACAGATTATGGGTTGAGCAATATAAAAGAACTGTGTGTGTGGCTAGAGAGAGAGAAGGCAAGGAAGAACTCACTTGGTTTGTGGAAGAACCGTGTGTGTGGGTCCGACAGCAATAGGCTTGATAGTGAGAGAAGAGGGCAACAGAGACAGGAGCACGATCAAGGCAGAGGGCTTTGTAAAGGATAAGAGGCTTCCCAAGCATAGGCAGGCAAGAGAGAGAGAGAGAAGGAAGCTCGAAGAGCAAGGGGAAGCAGGAGGAGAGCGGTAGGATGAAATTTCAATGGGTTCGAATCTTTCTACGCACGCGAGTTTTTTTGTTGTTCAATCACAACCTCTCCTTTCATCCCATTTAAATGAATGGTCCATAGAGAAGGGGAGAAGTTACTATTCCCAATCGCCAATAGGCGTTGGGAAGAC